AGTTGTGAGCGAGCAATTTGGCTACTCTGGAGCCATCCTTCCTGAGCGAAGACAAAAATGTGTGAGCCGGAGGCTAAAAAACTGTGAGCTAGCTCACACTAACTCAGCTTAGAGGGAACACTGGTGGTGACCAAATCACAAATCTCCCATTCTCTCATCTTGTTGGATTCCCACTGTTGCGTTTCTTTTCCTTAATAATTACAAATAAATAAAATGTCTGTCACTGACTTGGCGGCCATCGGTTTCACAAATCAGTTCATGAATGAGACGCAAAGAAGCAAGGCATTATATGGGGTCAATTCCTTTTGTGCTACAGCAAAACACATGCACACAGAGAGAGAGATATCCTTACCTGCATAGAATTCTGGGCTGTAGACTGCACCGACAACTGGATTTAATTTCCAACCTACAGTAAACATATAAAACCGAAAATTGAGCTAGGGTTATAATAGGGGGTTCATAATTATTACGGGTTGCTTTTTATATATATACACAGGGAGAGAGAGGAAGCGCAAAAATACGACTATCCATAAAATGGTTATAATAAAGTTCTGTAGGCAGTTATATGCTTCATGGCCCTCTGGAAGAAATGGTCAGAGGAATATCCCTTTAATATCCTCTGGGTATGGAAAATGAAATATGAATAACAATAAAATGGGTTTTTTTCTCCCTGGTGTTAGGAAAAAAAACACTTTTGTGCATAGTGGACACAAGAGATGGTCTGAGAACCCATTCAAACGTTTAATGGGCCTGGTGGTACAGTCCTTTCCAAACAGACTCTGGGAGAGCCCCCAAATATCACCGCACGTGGTATACTTCTGGCTTACCTGCCGGGATCAGCCAGGAATCATACTCTGTGCGTGTGCTCCCCACTGTGAGACATTCAAAGCTGGCGTGCGGTGGGAAAGCGCACGGGACTGCTTCTGCAGGTCCCCCCATGTCTCCTCCCTCTCCCGAGCACTCCACTGGCTCCTAACGAGGCCTGGCTTTAAACAGTGGTGCAAGCTAGGTAGTTTCAGACTCTGGACTGAACGGTCTTGCACACGAAAAGAGAGAGAATGGGCATTCAACAAGCCCCACCATACCCAATCCTGTCTCAACAGACAGCCGCTTAACACAAACTATGGATGGGAAGAGAACAACCTGATTCTACACCCATCCACTCAGAAGTAAGTCTCGCTTGACTCACTAACTACAGACGTCCATCCCAAAGTCCCATTCTGATGGGGCCACTGGCTGTGAAGAGTTGTGGGCAAAGTCTCGATTTACGCTGAGCGACGACCTCTGAGCCAGGTCTTTGCTTGCTCTTTGGGACAGAGCGTGTACGCCACGACAAGACGCTCCTTGACTCTGCACCTCCGTAGTGCCGCCGCCCGCTGCTTTCAAGCCGTCTTGGTTGAGCTGCCATCTTGGTCACTTGGCTACCCTGGTTGGAATCAGTTTCAGGCCCATCGTCTAGATGCTGATGCCCTGGCAGTTTGCTATAAGGAGGAGCCCCAGGGCTTGCTTTTGGCGACACTTAAGGCACCGCCAGCAGTGCTGGCTTGCTAACTGGGTGGTTGCCAGGTAACCCAAAGGACCAACTGGGTTTTCCCTTGGTGGGATTGCAGAGTCAGGCCTGACTTATTTCCAGGGCTATTTCTGGGCAGGAACGCACACGAACGGAGTTCCGGCTGGCTCCCAAGTTGGCCACACCCAGCAGGAACTATTAGCATAATAGGCCACACCCAAGAGCAGAAACTCATTAGGATTGGCTACATTAGGGGTGTGTGGCCTAACATGCAAAGGGGTCCCTGCTACAAAAAAAGGCCCTGAGTTTGGACCACAAACAAGGTAAACAGAATAAGAAGCAAAAGGTGGGTGTGGCTGGATGACCACACTTCTGGTAACATGGGAATGTGGCTTAATATGTTAATGCGTGGTGCGGTCAGGGGTGTGGCCTAATATGCTAATGAGTTTCTGCTGATGGGTGTGGCCTATTATGCTAATGAGTTCCTGCTGGACTTTTTCTACAACAAAAGCCCTGCTTATTTCTATAGGCAAGACGTGGCGGCTTTCATACGATCCTCTCTGCCTTTCTTTGCCCTCCCCTAGACTGCTTATTTTGTTTTGACTGTGAATGAGTAGATTGCCCCCCGCCAATGTTCCCTCTAAACTGTGGAGTCTTGGAGCAAAAGTTCTACTTTGTGAGCTACTGGCATTAAAGTTGTGAGCCGGCGATTTGGCCGCCGCATACATTAGTTTGCTCCGGAGCCATCCTTCCTGAGCTGAGACAAAAATGTGTGAGCTGGAGGCTAAAAAACTGAAAGCTAGCTCACACTCACTCAGCTTAGAGGGAACACTGCCCCTTGCACCATCGTTTGCATTGTGTTGTTATCTGTCTCTGCACCATTGCATCCCACCTTAATCCCAGTTTAACTAGGAGAATGTCTAAAATTAATTCCAGAATTGGAATGTCCAGCTTTTCCACATTAAGTTACTCGCTCTGACCATTTTTCTGCTTACCCACATCTGCTTCGACTGTTCTCCCAACACCCACATTTTCACATAAACACAAGAAAAACAAGGACAAAAGAGTCAATTAAAAATACGAAGGGCCAACAAGCATGCTGGGGCAGCCTAACCCAAGCCGATCTAAGTCTAACGCGTACCCCAGTCACATATTTAATTGCAGGAGATCTACTTTGCTAGAATACCTTTATCCCCCCCCCCCAATTCCATCTGCTCAGTCCAAAAATATAAGTGATTGGGCTGCATTTCCAGATCTGTCAGGTCCTTCTGTCAAAGAGGTTGAGAGATACCCTCAGATTTTTAAGTTATACTAATGGTGCCTCAATTTATCCAAGGAAAGAGAGGAAGGGAGAAAAAAAAACTGGTATTCTGGATGATGCAGATCGATGCTCTTAGCTGAAAGTCGCACTCATATTTCATTTCCTTCCCACTCCCGATTTGATGGCTGTATCATCTAACCCGGAGAAGCTCACCCAGGAAAGACTTCATTCATCATGAAAATAACAGCAATTAAACTTTACTTTGTCTTGTCAATGAGGTATGTGCTGGCCCATAACTGTGTGGGTTAATCAAGTGTAAGGAGAGACTTGACATATCTGAATGAGGAACTACCAAGGAGCCCTGTGTTAGCGGTTGGGAGAGGTAAATTCGCCACCGTGGGTGTAATTCCATGAATTTGTCTTGCTGTCACAACACTCATCTCCTCAGGTTGAAACTTTTGGAGGGAAGAAAAAAAAGAGAAAGCAACTACCTTCATGCAGACATCTGCACAGTAGAGCAATGGGAGGAGGTGGGAGGAATAAGCAGGGCCAATCCAGAGGCTTTATACTGCCAGCCAATCACAGGGCCCCATGTTGGTCCTATTCCCAATAAGTGGAGATGATGCTCTTGATCTCATGAGTTTTTCGAATCATTAATATTTTGATCAATGGTCCTAGCTTCTTGAGACGTTTATGTGCCATTTCTGTCATACTGGCATGCAGAGTGCACACTGTTTCTATGTATAATATATGTATGTACAATACTGATTTATTGGTGGTCAAAAGACACTGAAAAATCCATACATTTTACAGAGGGGGGGGAGGCCTTGGTTTGTACCAGGAAAACACACAATCAAATCAGGGGCCTGGGGGTTGAAGCAGCAAGGGATAAACCAGAATAAAATCACCCCTAGGGCATACCTCGGCAGAAGAACACAGACTTTGCTGTTAGAGTGCCCCATATTCACTCTAGACTTTTCAAAAGATTTTCAGACAGCAATGTTGGGGGGAGATCCCTGCAACCACTCGGAGCCAATGGCCAGACGTGGGGGAGCTCCACTCTCCCAGGCACTGTTCCACAAGATCACACTGCACTCTTCCCTTCCTGAATTCTGGTTTTTTATGATCCTAACATTAATTCTCAAGTTAATTCCCCCCTCCCATGTTACCAATAGTACTCGCGCAGCAATAAAAACACTGGATCTGACTGCATGAACTGTTTTTGTGTAGCGTGTTCCTGACAGCCAACATACGCCCCGGCACATTGATAAAGCTCTATACAAAAAGGAATATTGAAACAACCCTATATGATATAAATGATCACACCAGAAACTAGCGATGTGGAAGAGGGCCAAAAGACAGCCGCACAGTGCTCAGGGGAAAAACCTAAACCAGTTAAAGACTCTGGATATGCCGCTTCCATGATAGAAACAAGAACAGGTGATTTTGGAACTTCCGGGAGAATTTCATTAATGCCCCTTGCTAGATGTCCCTAAAATTGCTTCGAGATAAACTCTCCATATTGGCATCAGCCAGTGGTATTCCTTGTGTGCCCCTGGGCTAGTCTTTGTCTTTTTGCCAAACCCATTGCACAGTTCTGTAGGGGATCAGCACATACTTCCCTGAACGTCCAGCAATGGCAAACCATCTCTGAAACGTCTCTTGCCTTAAAAACAAAGTCTAACTCGCAACCTAGTGGTTGTTGTTGTTGTTCAGTCACACAGTCGAGTCCAACTCTTTGCAACCCCATGGACCAGATCCCACCAGGCCATGGACCTAGTGGTGCATAACTCTAAAAGAGCTACAACTTCTGGCTGCCAGACAATCTTAAGATCTCCTGACTATACTACACACACTGCCATATGAGCCTGCTTGCGGGGGAGGGCAGGATATACGGGTAAATAAATAAATAAATAAATATTAATTATGATTATTTCCCTGAACGTCTTCCAAGAAGAGTGAAGCTAAGCTGTTTTCCTCCAGTCTCCACCTGTGTTAATTCAGCAGCTGCTGTATCAACAAGCTTTACATTTTGTGCTTGTTTGTTTGCAGTTGAACACAGAGAGTTGCCATCTACTGAACCAGACCATGAGGCCAGTATTGCCTACTCAGACCGACGGCTGCTCAGCAAGGTCTCGGGGCAGGCAGACTTTCACATCTCTGCCTTTCAGCTGGAGAAGCCAAGAATTGAACTTGGGACCTTCCGCATGCCGAGCAGATGCTCTACCACTGAGCCACAGCCCCTCCCAATTTTCTTTGTTGACGGTGAGCTGTTCCAAAATGGGGGGGAGTGATTTGAAATTGTATTGTATTGTAATTTTATTCTTTTTGAAATCAAGATATCTAAAAAAGAAACTGCTTTCCTTTTAGGGAAAAGAATAACGCATAGGTTTACTGCTTTTTGCTGAATTCCATGGAAAGAGAGGCATCAGCAAGCACGGAGAGATCTATAGAGAGATCAGCAAGAACCTCATACTGAGAGACGGACAAGAATTCAGCTGCCCAGACAGCTCAAAGGGGAGCCAGAAAAAAGAACTGGGCCTGCTAGACTGGTTTCACTGGCAAGTATGGCTTCTGAGGACCGGTCTGCCCATTACCCTAGCATTGAGGTTCTATATGTGAGGGCCGCTGGAACACATCTTGGACTCGTTCACAGATCTCCCCCCAGCGCACTGTGCATAGAACATCTCAGGCTTAAGGGTGCGCATCTAGAGATAATTCATATGAACCATGGTTTGTACGACCCATTTGTGTGTTTTCTAGGTAGGCCAAATTGTGCCGTGGCTTCATGCCACATTCGACATGCAACAGGAGAAAAGCCTGTGAGCTGGGCTAAATTCTCAAGTCGACTTCTGACGGTTGGGTGTGCATACCAGTGCACGTAACCTGTGCACGAGCTGAGATTTGCACAGAAGCAGTAATTTACGCGACACTTTTAGGGGCCCTGTGGGAGATCCACAATTTATTTGGTTTATACCTCATAAAAATGGTGTGGCCCCCAAGGGTCTCCCTTTGGTTGCTGTATAATCGAGATCATCAAATGTCTGGAGGTGCACCTTGCCCCTTGGGTTGGATTTTCCTTTGATATTTCAAAAGTGTTTGGTGTAGTGGTTAAGTGCACGGACTCTAATCTGGGAGAATCGGGTTTGAGTCCCCACTCCTCCACTTGCACCTGCTGATGTGACCTTGGGTCAGTCGCAAGCTCTGGCACAGCTGTCCTTGGAAAAGAGCAGTTTGTGTCAGAGTTCTCTCAGCCCCACCCACCTCACAGGGTGTCTGTTGTGGGGAGGGGAAGGGAGAGGAGTTTGTAAGCTGCTCTGAGACTCCAAGTGAAGGGCGGGGTATAAATCCAATCTCCTCCTCCTCCTCTCCTCCTCCTCCTCCTCCAAAAAGCCGAGCTTTTTGCATCGATGTGAATGGATGCAAACTCAGCCTGCTTGGGGAAGAATCCCCCTACTTCCGACCAACCATGCACACATGCAAATGCACACCTCTTAAACTTATGCAGTGGATGGATAAAATCTCATTTGTCAGTGCCAAAGCAAAATACTATGTTGTGACCCAATCAAACTTCCCTGTCTGTCTGACTGGGTTTGGATTTCCATGGAGATGACATATTTAGGAAACACTCAGGAAGAACGAAAGGAAGCTCATTTGCATTGCTTGGCTTAGACGTGTTTAGATGAAGGTGGGGAAATCAAAACAAAAAAACCACCAGGTTTCATTGGGGGGTTTTCACTAGAAGAGCAGGAGGAATTTCCATACACACCTCCACCCTGATTTACGGTGACTAGCTTAATAATTGTATGTCAAGCTGAGAACTCTTATTTTATTTTATTTTTTCATTTTCCCATGGCGGGGAGAGATAAATATGACAGAATAATTAAAAAATAAAGCTGCCTGCTTGTCTCTGCCCCACTTTTGATGACAAAAACCATCTCACTAACGAGCTCAAGGATGTAGAAGGGGGGGGGGAGAGAAAGTTCCGTCTTATTGCATGGCTGATGCCTGCCTCAGACGGCTGCGTGAAACTGCTGTTATTGATCAGCTGTGTTAAATTTCCTTTTTGGTCTGTTTTTTTTCCGGAGGAGAGTTGGGGAAATGAGATCATCGTTCAGAAAGCTACAGGGTTATGGAAAGAGGAACTGGCCAAGTAGAAAGTTCTGATACAGCCAATTCCAAAGCTCTCAGAAGAATTTGTTCCAAGACAGTGACCAACTGCAGAAAAGGGAAATTTCAGCTTAAGAGGGGACGTTGAGTGTCCAAGGTAAGTGCTGCTATAGGGAGGGGAAATTTTTCCCCCAAAAAATTCACTTATTTAGTTATAGCGATTGGTTCCTCTCATTTTCTCCACCCCCCTTTTTTTAAAAAAGAGGCATTTCTCTTTCATTTCTCTTTAAAGAGGAATCTATGCTCTAGTAGGAAGATAGGAAGGTTTGGGAAGACGCTGCCTGCCTCTAAGCATCGATAAGAGTTAAATTCTCAGATGCTGCAGAACCTCCCTTCCTGCCCCTCCTCTGTTCAAACATCTTTTCGATCAAAATGGAATTGGCTGACTCCAAATTCCTAAAAAGAGGGAAAGGAATGCAGTGTTGGATTCCAGGGAGAAACTGGCTGAAGAAGAATTAAGAGAATTTCTCTTAAGAACCCCAGTTCTAAGCATTCTAACTCCATTAAGCATCCACACTAGACCACAGCTTGCCAACAGCCACTGGAGGGGTTTTTTTTTTTTAGTCCAATGTCGGGTCTTTGACTCTCTATACTACACTAGCTCTCAATGGCCTAGTGGATGAATTTGGCTCGTGCATTATAGCCTAGCTGATAGCGTGGCCGGAAGCAGGGGGCGGGGCTTCATCATGTGCCCCGCCCCCTGCACCTCACCCGGGGGAACTGCGTTCCCCCGCGTTCCCCCCGAAATGACATCTGTGTATTCGTCTCTAATTCCAAAGAGCCCAACTCAGTCTTCAGTGAGGGAGTGTAAGATTTCACAACCGCATGAAGATGTCTTCAATGGAATTGGATCGTTTGGTCTATCGAGCTCTGTACTGTCTTCAATGGGAATGTAGCATGTGTTTGTGTGTTGGGGGAATTTATACAAGCAGCCATGCAGTTCTTGGAGGAAGGGTGGGGTGAACATGCAATAAGACAGATAATGACCTCATGGAGTCCCGGCACAGTGTGGAACTAGGTGTGCCAGAGAAGCGAGGCAGAAGATTTGGGGCAGGGGCAGGCATGCTGCCATGTGACATCAGTTCCTTTTTTGCTGGGAATGACATCAGGATGTTGAGGGTGATGCTCTAGGATTCACCAAAATTGTGTCAATCATAGCATTTTGGAAAATCCTACAGCATTTTCCCCCATCTGCCTTCGAAGTGCTAATGGGTATGTGGACCTGTATCTGAAGGAAGTGGTTCACACTTGTATGGATAAGACATGAAGCAGGCCACTGAGCATTAGGAAGGAGCCAGGAGGTGCTGTAGCAAATTCTTGGAGTGCTGATCGAAAGCATCGAGCTTCCTTTCTCGTGCATATACATGTCTATTGAAATTCATTCCTGCCCTCTAAAACACTGGCAAGAAAACAGAGAGTAGCGCCTTGTTCGGAATAGCAGATCTGAGTGGAGCAGAACTGGTGGTTAAACCCCCTTATCAACCTTCCCCGCACAGTTCCAAGGAAGGACAAGCCCGAAGAAGTCTGGATGGACCAAGGCAGATGAGCTTTGTTCTCATCTCTTTGAGCCCTTAGATACATAGACACAAGAATCTTGGGAGAGAAGGGCAGGGGAAGACCTCATTCAGAAGAGTTAGTGCCAGTCCATGTGGGGTTCTATGGCCCAATGGTCTGATTCGGCACAAACCATTTCTTTGTGTTCATGTTCTTCACACAAAAAATTGCACCACCACAGATCAAGAACAAGTACCTTGGTGCAAATATGCTGGGGTACAAAATCTGAAGAAACATTTCACATCCTTACCGTTCGTGTATGGATTTACGGTCTTTTTGTTTGTCATGACGCGAGCCGTTGCATTGTTTACCTAAGCACATAGAAAAGAGAATTAGTAACGTTTGTGCAAAAGAGAAGGTTTCATGATACTAATGAGACACATGCATTATTGCTGACATTAGTTATGTATAAATGCAATTTAATTTATATCCCAAAAAAAATTCAAAAGAACAAAAAAGCAGGAAGCACATAACAAAATCAAACTATTTATAATTACATTTACTCTCATCACCAGTTTCTTAAAAAAAAGAAACTTACAAATCATTTCAATAAAGTAACATCATCTCCTTTAAACTTTAATAAAGAGACATTAAAAGCAAATTAAAAAGGTTCTGCATAATTGAAGACTTAAGAGCATGCTTTTTGTTCCATGGTAACACTGAAACGATAAAATATTTAAAAACGGAAAATTTCCAAAAAAAAAAGAGGAGTAAAAGTACCATATGAAGGAACATGCAGTGGAGTAGAAAGGGGGAAAGAGACAATGTACAAGGGAAGAACTTAAAGGTCAAATGAAAATAGGGGGGAAAGGACAAACGGATCTAAGCATTGTGCAACATAACCCTTTCAAAGAGAGATTCCATTGGAAAAGCAACATGTAGCATTCAACACTGGGAAACATGAGCCTTGTTTGTTCATGGCAAGAAAACTAACAAAATCATTCAAGCTTTCAAAATCACAGCTAACAAAAGGATAAAAGAGGGTGCATTATTTAACACAATATGGAGTTAACAATCTGAGTAAGATGTGCACAAAAGTCATATCCTCAATCCAAGTCAGTGTCTCCAAGGCTTGCTTAAAATGGACACTCAAAATTTACAGGCGTACCGATATAGAGAAAAAAAAATATAGAGAGAGCATCAAGAAAACTTAATACGACAAGTCAAAAAAACTCCACGTGGTATATATATATCAGCGCTTAAAAAATATACGTGAAACGGCGGATGGATTTTGCCACTTACCATTCAGCACCATCGCCGGCATGGGGTATGTATACAGTTACCATGGTTACTGAGAGTTTGGTGAGGGCCCTAAGCGCTATGGTCGAAGGGGGGAAAATGGAAAGGCAAAACATGCGACATCTTACTCAAAAGACGACAGCATTTTCAATTGGTAATTTTTTTGTTTCTTTTTCTCTTTCTGTCTCTGTCTTTTTCTTTTAAATTCTAACAAATAATTATTCAGGCAGTGTTGAAGGGGATCCAGTGGTCATAGGAAAAGAGAAGATGTTCAGGGGGCATATTTTCATGTTAAATGTAAAGGGTTTAAACTCTCTTGGGAAAAGTAACAGGATTGTTCAAAACGAAAATGAACTTTTGTTTTAGATTTTGTTAATCAACTATTCAAGGCTGATTGCTCAGATTTCCCAATTTGAATGATTTGGGAAGCCACTGTAGATCCTGCATCAACCCTGCACTGGAAAACAAAAAAACAAAAAATGAAATAAAAACAAAAACTATCTTCTTGGTTTGCTTTGCCACTTAATTTTGTTTCTTTTATTTTTTCCAATTTTTTAAAATCTATTGCACCCATTGATTTACAAGACCTTTCAAAGCACAGCAAAATATTAAAAGCTCATCACGCTTCGGTCATACAACTTTCAGCAATAATTATAATTACAAAATCAATTGATTCTTGTTTGTTTTTTTAAAAAAATTAATAAACCCAAGTATGGCCAGATTATCTTTATTTATATATATTCTCACACATACATATTGATATATATAAATAAATATAGAGAAATATATATATTTAAAAAAAACAATGGGAAGGGAAAAAAGGGAAGCACACAGGACACTAACGATGCATCAGAAACAACAAATGAGAGTGAAGCAGACATTTATAAAAAAGATGAAAAGGAAAATATTTTGAACATGCACCTCGATTTTACGGCCCTCTACCACGGTGCCGTGTAATTTCTCCCTCGCCCTTTCGGCATCAGCACTATTTTCGAAAGTAACGAAACCAAATCCCTACATGCAGGTGGGAAGAGGGGGGAAAATAACATGCACATCATTATTTCAGACAATGACCACTTCTTTGCTTATGTTCTTGTTTGTGTTTCTCTCTCTCTCTCTCTCTCACTTTCTGTCTCTCTTTAATTTAATAGGCTCTCGTTCTTCCTTCATTTCTGTAACATGCAAATTAGAAAAATTATAATTGTACCGAGATGTGCAATTAATAAAGCGACCCAATGTGAACAACTTTCTCTCTCTCTCTCTCTCACTTTCATCAGTTAGAGCATATCCCCTGAAGAATGTCAAAGAATGAACACCAAAATACCTTTTTATTTATTTATTTACTGCGTCTCTAAATTGTAGCTACAGAGGAAAAAAAGAAATCTAATGAAAAAAAGAAAGGGAAAAGAAACATCTAAATCGATGGAGCGATGTTATCACATAGGAAAAAAAATAAACTGTGAGAAAAGAAAGCGAATCACTTTTGAACAGCATGCAGATTTTTTTGCTCAACTGATCGTAAATACAAACCAAAAACGTGTGCAACAAATTTCAACGCCAAATGCAAATCTAATCTAGAACATTGGCTAGTTACTCATGCCATTGTGGTTTAAAAAGAAAACATGTCCGTCATGCAACACTCGGGGTGTTAATAGTTTTGTTTGGGTCTACAACCTTTACTTTTTTTCTCTCCTTAAAGAAAAAGGAGGAAAATAAGCTCCGCCAAGAAAACAAAGTTGAGGTTGAAAATAAACTTCCCTGACTCTTTCAAAAGATAAAGCAGAATTATGTGGTATGAGTAAAGAAAGAACAGAATTCAGAAATGCAGCCATTTGGAGCAATGTTCAGCTATTCCATATTACTGTTCTTAAATGTTCCTTCTCAGTTGCAACATGGCTCACACATCTGACATTGGGTCGATTTACACATGGCCCGGGCATGCACATTTGACATGCAGTAGAGTGTCAGAGCAAGCCACGGGCTCACGCACCTTGCACTGTGGCACAGGATGTTTCGTGTAAATCGTGGCCTATGTGAGTATACTTATTATGTGGCTCTCCACTGTGCACACCAAAGGGGGAAAGAAAAAGTGGATAAGCCCTGGTTCACATTAAACATCCTCTGTAAAGTTTGGAGGGGAGGGTCAACGTCTGTGCCCAATTCTTGCTCCCACACTCCACAGAATGCTGGACATACATGCTGGGGCTATGGGCAAACAAGCCCACTGTCACTCCTACAACTATTTTTCTTAGAATTTGCTTAAAGTGTTACACGTTGGATGGATTCTCTTCACGAGTCTCCTCCCTACCTCCTTGAAAGCATGAACGTCCACAGTCTCCAACGGATGGGAGTCAAATGGAATTAGGTTGTCCAAAGCAGTACCATGTGCAACGACCTCTGCAGCTAGAAGCTTGCACACTGCCCAGTAAGAGAAGGCTGGAGGGAGCCTATCTTGATCTATGTGAGGGCAACCTAGTTCTTTTTGATCCTCGTGGCTACTGTATACATAATTGTTACCATGGGAGGAATCAGCCTTGCCATTGGTCTGCAGATGGCCCCTTCTGGAGAGGCTGACAGCCTCCAGCTTCCACCCATTACAGGACTTGGCACGTTCCACATCTGTGGCAATGGCCACCAGGCAGAACCATCTCAGAGAGGAGCTGCCCTCCGTGAAAAGGAACGGTGCCACCCATGTGCAGAACAATTATGTATACATGGTGCCCGGGTGCCCAAATACAAATGGTTCTTGTTGCTGGGGAACACCGAATCCACTTCATGACCCCAAAATAGAGCCAAAGCTCCTGGAAAGAGTCCACTGTTCTTTGTACCACTTTAAGCAATTCACTATCACCTAACTTCACTACCATTTCAAGAACACGTTTCAAACAGATACATTCCTGCATTTTAAGCATTCAAAACATTTCACCTACAACTGGCAGCAAAACCTGACATTTCAATGATTTTAAAAAGCTTTCGGCAACCAGTCCACATGGTGATCAGAAATGCAGCCCAACTTCTTGAAATAACCTGAAATTTCTTTTTCACCCTCCCCCTTCACAAATAAAACCATCTTACTACAAGAGAGGAAAGACTCTTTAAAAGAAGAGGGTCTTGGCTTCCTTTACAGATTACCATACTATGAACAGAAGTTTTCATTTCTGCTTTTTCGGTAGCTGGAGATCCTGTGGCTATACAGGGCACACCAGAATTCTCCAGTGTCTTTGGGGTTGTGTGAACACTAGAATTAAAACCATAGGAGAACAGCACGCATACTCTGAAGCTTTGTCCCCCCCACCCCACCCCCGGTTAGTACAAGGCACTTCTCCCACCGCGGGGAGCAACATCTAAGGTGGGTGAGAAAGACCTGAGGCCAAATGACCCTGATCAGACATAGGTCATCTAAGCATGACTAAGCATACAGGGAAGTAGTGTATGCGAAAGAGATCTTGGGGTAAGAGTGGACTGTAAACTAAATATGAGCAGTCAGTGTGATGCAGTGGCAAAAACAAAGGCAAATCCAGTCTTGGGTTGTATTAAAAGGGCCATAGCATCAAAATCGCAGGAGGTCATAGCCCCTCTGTATACTGCCTTGGTCAGGCCGCACCTGGAGCCCTGTGTGCAGGTCTGGAGGCCTCACTTCAGAAAGGATGTGGGCAAAATTGAGAGGGTGCAGAAGAGAGCGACGGGGATGATCAGGGGTCTGGAGACTGAGCCCTACGAGGAAAGGCTGAGGGCCCTGGGAAGGTTTACTTTGGAGAAGAGGAGATTGAGGGGTGACATGATCGCTTTCTTTAAATACCTGAAAGGATGTCATTTGGAGGAGGGCAAGGAGCTGTTCCAGTCGGCAGCAGAGGAGAGGACCAGAAGCAACGGGTTTAAATGACATGCAGAAAGGTATCAGCTGGATATTAGGAAAAACCTTTTCACGGTCAGAGTGGTTCAAAGGTGGAATCAGCTGCCTAGAGCGGTGGTGAGCTCCAGTGACAGCTTTCAAGAGGAGGCTGTACGAAGATCTGTCAGAGATGCTTTAGGCTGGTCCTGCATTGGGCAGGGGGTTGTGCTAGATGGTCCGTATGGCCCCTTCTGTGGTCCTATGATTCTATGACTGTCTTTCCTCTCTTTTAGTACTGATGGGTTTACTCACATGCTGGGCACACGATAGCAGTGAGGGTTGGCCTCCGGTGCCTTCTGCCACCATGCATATCGCCTATATTGAGAACTTTTGCCTATATCATGTCACGTGGCTCTGTACCACTTTTCATCGCAGGATGGTGTCACAGGCACATGAGACCAAGGCTCCCTTCTGTGTCCCACTGGTTATCTAACCTACGCATTCAGATCATGGGTGATCCAACACAGAGAGATCCTGTAACTGACATTCTGCAATCCCAGGACTGGGTGATGCAGATCCATTCCACTACTAGTGGGGCTTTCCCCCGGAGCAAGGAGCTTTCTCTAGAAGAAGAAGAGGAGGAGATTGGATTTATATCCCACCCTTCACTCCCCGAAGGAGTCTCAGAGTGGCTTACAAACTCCTTTCCCTTCCCCTCCCCACAACAGACACCCTGTGAGGCAGGTGGGGCTGGGAGAGCTCTGACAGAAACTGCTCTTTTTCAAGGACAGCTGTGCCAGAACTATGGCTTGCCCAAGGTCATCCAGCAAGTGCAAGTGGAGGAGTGGGGAATCAAACCCGGTTCTCCCAGATTAGAGTCCGCGCACTTAACCACTACACCAAACTGGCTCTAGATGTAGCCTTCCTTGGCATGAAATCCTGTGGAAAAAAACAGATGATTCCTTGAACCGAGGAGAAGTCTGGCTGTTAGTAGAATGGATCTGTGGTCTCCAACCTAAGGAGAACAGCTAGATTTAACTTCTCTACCACCTTAGGGACCAATAAGATTTCCGGGTTATAAGGTTTTGAGGGTCAAAACTCTCTTTGTCAGAGGCCTTTGACTCTCAAAAGCGTATACCCGAAAATTTTGTTGGTCTCTAAGGTGCTACTGACTAACCTCTGAAACAACCTTGCTTCTAAAATAAGACATTTTCAGACAGCATAGACTAACTCTCTTACTTTGTTATACAAATATGAAAGCACCTTGAATGTTAAAGGGTTAGCAAACTGAAATTTTTAACTAACTGAGAAAACATCTGCACTTTCGTAATTGGGAACAATCACATCTGATCAAGTAATTACTCCAGAGAATATTAGATTATATTACTTGCTTCCATTTAAAGCAGAATATATACCTATTCTAACAATCACTCTCCCCCCCCCTTTCTTTTCTGCAAGCTTGAACTAATTTTGCAAAAATGAGTGAGGCAATTATCAGGGAAGTAGAAAGAATCGGCAGACAACATTTGATTATATTTAAAAGCAGAAAGCAATATTCCCATTTAACCGGTGACAGTTTATCGTTGTTGAAATTATCCCCTTTTAAAGGATTCAAAATTAGGCCAATGAATTTCACGCTGTTTGGGAAATTGACAAAAAAAAGAAAGAAAGAAAGAGGAGTGTAGAAAAGCCCGATAGATGTTTCGATTAAAGTGGATACTTAGGAAAGGTTTATTACAGAAGTGCAGTTGCTTTCTCTTTAACATATCAAATACTTCAAACAAATTAAGCGTTTCCACAGGTGTATTCAACTGCTTACCTTGGAGCCTCGCTCATTAAAAATAATTTCAACATCTAAGATTTTACCAAATTGCTGCAAAGAAACAAAGAAGTCACATGAGCATTTTTTTTAAAAAAGGTTATACATTAGGAACATTTAAAACGGTACCACGGGAAGACTCCCCCAGTTCGGGAGGCGATACTAGCTGGATTCTGAAATGCAGCTGATTGAAACGAATACCGGAGCCCCATGACTGTGACAGTGCATGTATGGAGCTCCCTTCCAGCAATGCCTGCCCCATGCATTTAAACACCGGGGTGAACCTCTGTCCGTGCACTGCTTTGCGGATGCAGAGATGTACACTCTTTTTAAGACAGGTGTGGCAGCATTTGCTAGAGAGACAGAGGGAGTCCCATGAGCGCATCATGGGTTACATATGCTGCATCGGGATGATGGTGGGGATATCCGGTTGGGGAAGTGTCGGATGGCAGCTCTGAAGCAGGACAGGGGTGTGGTCATGAAATCCCACTATTCACTCATCCTGACTATGTCCCCTGTACCGGTTTATTGACCGCACAGTCATCCCCCTGACAGACACGTGCAATTAGCGCAGCGGGAGAAACGGTTAACGGCTATGTGTTTTCAAATAGCCCTTCATTGCAGGAAGGCCTGGGGGGGGGGGACTGCAAGCTGATTGCCTGACCAAAGGGAAACAGTCGTGATACACCAGGAAGTTATTCTGCACGGGCTTCATCAAAGTAAATGGGACCTTCTAACGGAATGCTGGTTTCTTTCCAATTTAATGTCCGTTGGAATGTCCCAGAGAATTAGGCTGAACATCAGCAAGGTGTTATACCAGGGACATGTGAAGCATGCTTAGGGAAATTCTGGTTTCCCTTGAACAGTTTTGGACACTTCACCCCCAAAAAAGGAGGTCCCGAGGTCCCTTTTGGCACAGTCTGATGACATTCTAGAGAACCAGCGAATGAAAAGAATCCACCAGGTTTACTGAAATTTATAGCGAAACATTGGCATTGCCTTTTTGCTTGGAGGAACTCCTACATTTGCCTTGAAGTTTTCTCTCAGCAGAACTTTTAGCCAGCCTAGTTTCTTTGGCATCATTAATATATATATATACATATTTAGACATTTCTTTACCCCTTTCCTCCCGAGGAACCCAAGGAGGCTTTCAGAAATTCCCATACCAAATTAACCGATGGAACTTAAATGATCAAACAAAAATGATCACTTTTGGGGTGGCCATTTCTCCAGCACTTTCAGATGGACCCAAAAGCTCCGAGCCAGAAAAGCTGAAGAAATCCCTACTCTTGTTCTCACTCAGATAAAGATGTAAAGAGATCAACAAGTCCAGTGTGGTGTAGCGGTTAAGAGGGTTAGACGAGTGTCTGAGGGCCCTGGGTTCAAATCCCCACTTGTGTCACGGAAGTTCGTTGGGTGACCTTGGGCCAGTCACGCGCTCTCAGCCCAACCTACCTCTCAGCGTTGTTGTGAGGATAAAATGGAGGAGAGGAGAACGGCGTACGCTGCCTTGGGTCCCCATTGGGGAGGAAGATGGGGGTAAGAATGAATAAAATAAAAATTCCTATCATTGCTTCTGATCAACACTTGGCAGGGACTGCAGCCTGCTTATCTGCTTCCATCTAAACAGGACACTGGCCTACAACTGTGTAATTAGTAAGGTCGCCAAGTCCCGTTTTGGAAATACCTGGTGATTTCGGGGGTCCAGCCTGGGGAGGGGAGGGTTGGGGGAAGAAAGGGGCCTCTGCAGGGTGTATGATGTCATAGAGTCCAGCCATTTTCTCCAGAGAAAGTGATCTCTGCCAGATGGAGATCAGTTGTCATCCCAAGAGAACTCCACCCCTCGTCTGGAGGTTGGCCGCCCTAGTAATTAGGCAGGGTTTCTTTCCCTCTGAAACAGAGAATGGTCATATAACCTGTTATGTACGTGGACCGCCACCAGGGGTCCGTGGACAGGCCAGAGCTTGGATCCTAGAACAATGGAAACTTCGGATCCTGGATCACCCAGACCCAACCAATAGCCACCTTGGCGGGACATTCAAACCCTCCAATGGGAAGGGGGGGTTGCTGGGTGGATCTGTATATAGTTGGCCCTGTTGGCCGTTAGAGTCAGTCTTTGTGTTAAGTACAATAAACGTGTGCAATAGTATGTCGTTGTCCGAGTCCTCCATGCGGCGAACCCAGTACTTTTCATAACCGCTAAAAACCAAACAGTATTTTGTACAAATGAGCTGGACAAATCGCCCCTCCCCTTTGTTTGTTTGCATCTCATTTTTACAGTGTGACATTTTCTAACATATCACTCACGGGGTCGCATTTGCCTATTTCGTGTATCATTAACGAGGATGCGCGAAATAGGCTGCCAGGGTTAGAAACACAAGCAGTGTGGCACAAGGAAAGGCCAAACAAGAAGCCTACAAGGAAAACACCGGGGACCCAAGGAGTGCTCCCTCTAAACTGTGGAGTCTCGTGAGCAAAAAAATCTACGTTGTGAGCCGCTGGCATTAAAGCTACGCACAGGCGATTTGGCTGCTGCATACATCAGTTTGCTCTGGAGCCATCCTTCCTGAGCTGAGACAGAAATGCGTGAGCCAGAGGCTAAAAAACTCTGAGCTAGCTCACACTGACTCAGCTGAGAGGGAACACCGGTCCCAAGTTCTCCTGGGCATATGCCAGGCAGGCACGGCCAAGCTCCAGTCCGCTGACGATTTCAGAGCGGGGGTCGTCATGTGATGTTTTCCGTTCTCAGTTTTGCTTTCTTTGATAACATGTTGGTGGCTAATCCTGGAGGTGTGCATGACTCCCATATGTGCACCCATTATGCTGTTCTAATTTGTGCGTGTCCCTCTGGCTCTCCGGGAGTCACAAGCACTTCCAGAATGTGTGTCTCCCTCACCCCCCAGTGATGGACAACAGCGGGGCCTTGGAAGACTCCGCTGCCCCTTGGATTGTCGGTCAGCCAGATTTGAGTCCAGTAGAACCTTGGAGACTAACAAGGTTTTGGGTGTATAAGCTTTCAAGAGTCAAAGATCCCTTCGTCAGCTTTCTCTTGAAAGCTTCTATTCCCCACATTTAGTTGGATGGCTAAGATCTTTGACACCCAGTTTTTTTGTTTCATGCTATGTGGTTGTGTCCCCATGGGCCCAATACTTCTCTCCTTCCCACCTTTCTCTGCCAACACAACCCAGCTTCTCTGCCCGTTTCCCACTTACGGGGCTGCCCTGTATCCCTTTCTGCTCCAGGTTCTTGAGATCCTTCAACCACAACAGCCCGGACTGACCAAGACTGGGAGGTGACTGCCCAGCACCCCCTGATGGCTACCAAAATATCAGCAGCACCACAGTCTCACTGATCCATAGCTTCATTTGGATACCAATTCTGCTGACTCAGTTTTGGCCAGCCAAACACTTACACCTAGGGCAACTGACCTATGCCAACCTAGGAGGATTCTGGTGTACCAAATGGCCTGGATCCGGACTAAGCTACCTGCTTATAGAAGGGGGTGGAGTAATTCCCATCAACCCACTCTTCCTGCTGCAGAACCTACATCTGCCCCTCATTATAAGAACACAAGAGAAGCCATGTTGGATCAGGCCAGTGGCCCATCCAGTCCAACGCTCTGTGCCACACAGTGGCCAAAACCCAGGTACCATCAGGAGGTCCACTAGTGGGGCCAGAACTCCAGAAGCCCTCCCACTCTGCCCCCCCGCACCACGAAGACAGAGCATCACTGCTTCAGACATAAGAACATAAGAGAAGCCATGTTGGATCAGGCCAGTGGCCCATCCAGTCTAACGCTCTGTGTCACACAGTGGCCCAAACCCAGGGGCCATCAGGAGGTCCATCGGCGGGGCCAGAACAATAGAGTTCTGTTCCTGTGGGTCCCCAGTCCTCCAGGGGCAGCATTTGGGGGAGATCAGTGTGCTACAATTGTATGTGGAAGTGAAATCTGGAGTAAGCTTCGATTCTCACAGACTCTTAGTTGGGGATATGAAACTGACACAGGGCCCAGATGCATAGAGCTGAACAAAGACTTCCTGCCGCATTGAAGATGCCGGTGAGATGCACATGGATACGGTTTGACTGATAGCATCAATGAAATATGAGGCAGGACTTGGGAACTGCAAGGGTGACTGCCTGGAGAGGACCTTGCATGTAAAACAGGAAAAAAGGGGGGGGATACGTACCCCGAACATTTGTCTGAGATCTGGATCCCGGAACCTGAAGGGTATATTTGAAACGTGCAGCCGTTTCGGCTGAGATTTGTTTTCTGTGTTTTCCGAGGATTGTGTCTGTTGTTGGCCGTCGGTCTGTGCTGCATCGTCTGTCTGCTGAAAAGAAAACAAAACGGGTGGGTGGGTGGGATACTGTTAGTCGCGTTCCCTGCATTGCTCTTCTACTCAAAGATATCCCTGCCCCCACCCGGTCCCAAAAGGGTCAGTGTGGCTCAGAACCCCAGAAAACAAAAGAGTTAAACGACAAAAGACTAACCGATCAATCAAACCAGACCAATTGAGACAGCAACATAGTCTGGGCTGGGCCGAGAATTTCTGGCCTTCAGAGGCATCATCAGGTGGCCAATTTTAATACAGAAGTGATGATTGAGTTTCAAGAAGCCGGTATCGGAAGTCGCTGAACACCACGTACCAAATTGTTTCTGCGCCATGGCTGGTACTGGAGAAGGCATGCCGCTGGGACCCTGATTGGCTTCCAAACACGATCCACCCATTACTCCCACTCACAATTTCCACCCAGACAGCAGGTTTACGGTGCAGTCCTAGACAGAACGACACCCTTCGGAGCCCTCTGAAGTCAACGGGCTTCAAAGGGGATAACACTACTTAGGATTGCGGCATTCGAGACCCGCCGCACGGAACACACAAAAGCAATTAGTTTCATTATGTCATCTGAAGATTAAAATGAATCGTCTTTTCTGAAACAGAATGTTAACCATGCTCAGGGCTTTTTCTTTTCTTAAAAAAATTCCACGACAATATGGAATACCTAATTAATCATACTGTAGAATATGTATATATACACATTTACGGGTAAGAAAATCTCTGAATGTTCATTGACTTAATTTACTGGCACAAATAAGAGAGCCTGAAAGAAGACGGATGGTAGAGGGGAAAATATCCCCCTCTCTAAGCTGGAGTGGTTCGCTTTCCTTTCTGTGGGGCATTTTCTACATTGCCCGAAAAACTATGGTTTAAGAGAGGTGGACTCTAACCTGGAGAACCGGGTTTAATTCTCCACTGCTCCACATGCAGTCAGCTGGGTGACCTTGGGTCAGCCACAGTTCTCTCAGAGCTTTCTCAGCCCCACCTACCTCACAGGTGTCTGTTGTGGCAAGAGGAAGGGAAGACTGTAAGCCGCTCTGAGACTCCAAGTGAAGGGCGGAGTATAAATCCAATATCCTCTTCCTCTTCTTCTTTGCTGTCGGGTCACTTCCAACTTACGGCAACCCTATGAATTAATTACCTCCAAGGCGTTCTCTCGCCAACACCCTTGCTCATATCTCTCAATCTGAGGGCCGCGGCTTCCTTGACTGAGTCCATCCACCTCCTTTTGGGTCTTCCTCTCTTCCCGCTGCCTTCACCTTTTCCT